CTTTTCATGATTCATTCCAACACGAATCCGGTGGGCCATAAATACAGGCCTGTCAAAATGTGTTTTACCCCACAGAGAGGGGAGTGGCACAAGGTACAGTGGACACCATTCACGTATCCGTGTGTTTGCAGTGGGCAAAGGGAATGTTGGAGTTGGTGGCTTTGGTCTCGCTGAAGAGTTCAGGTATTGATGGGACAAAAGTGAGGGAAAGGATTGAAAGGCTTATTTGTGCGGATGAGAGCCAGGCATCAGTGTTTGCTGTGCTGTGGCTCTGCAGCTGTTCAATGTGAGCTCTATCCACCCTTCTCTATTTTAAACCAGACACTTCAAGTTGGACATTATTAAGACACTAAAGCTCAGAGATAAAGTATGAAATGCTTTTGGTTATTTTACTGTATCTAATTTTTAAAGACAAACGACATTTCAAATCAGCATCTTGTCCATTGGCTGTGGTTTATTCTGCCTAATGAGGCAGAGTGTGGTTACTTTGGCTTTTGAAGTGTCCAAGAATGAACATGCTCATGTGGTTACAAATATTAAAGATGGTATTGTGTCCCTGATGTGTAAAATGCAATGAAATTGTACAAAACACAAGCACAAATAATCTTTATGGAAAAGGTTGACAGTAATGGTAGGACCAAACCCTCAGTTGATAAAACAGGTTAATTTCATTTCCTGTTTCCAGAGGTTTAGGTGGTTCTGGTGGTTGAAGGAGACCCTCATCAGTCTTGAAATGAACGTTTCTCTCAGGAATCTTGTCCATGTTTGTCTTGCTCTGAACTTTTCACAGTCCACTCAGAAGGGTAAATGAGTGACTTGTGTAGGCCAAGATTCAGAAAATGCACTTTGCAAGAAATACCCTTCCTACGTAGGAGATAATTCATTTCCCCTTTTTCTTGGATACCTTGTCTGAACAAAAATAAATAAAAAATAAGGCATCCATCCATCCATTTTCTTTGCCCGCTTCTTCTTTTTCAGGTCACAGAGGTCACTGGTGCCCACATCCAGCAGTCACTGTGCGAGGCAGTAAAAACAGCAGCTGTAATAAAAAATTAAAACACTCAGACAATTACATCAAATAAAAACAAAGTGCTAAACCTTCTTTGTATGTTTCCAACAGTGCAAGGACATTTTACATGGTTTTACCCATACCTTAAGGATATAGTTTGTATACTGAAAATAACAACATTCTTAATATGCTGGTATAATTGTTACAAGCTATATTTTTAAGAATGTTTAAATCAAAACATAGATTTTTTTTTTTTTTTTTTTTTTTTTTTAATTCTGTAGCTGATTTGTCAAGTTTGAGTGGATTGTTTGGAAGTGATCTTCAAATGAAGCTACCAGACAATGTCAGATGCCTGCACCAAAATGTCATTTTAAAAAGATAGTTCATAATATATAAAAACTGGTTCGAGAGCTGCGTAATTTAAAGCTATATCGATAGGTAGTGATCATAGTTCTATAAAACGCATCCCCAAGCAGCCTTTGTGTGTTTGTGACATCCAGAGCTGTCATGTGTGTCTCCAGGAGGAAGTTGTCCAGCTCTAAATCAGCCTTTGTTCCCATCAGAACCCAACGTGCCTAAAATTGTCTCTTTCTCTTTGATTTCTTCTTCTTTCAACTAAAATATATCAATTCTATTCCACCTTCTTCTAACCCAAACGCCCCAGACATTGACTCTCTGGGAATAAAATCACTCATGGTCCACATGACAGAGAGTACACAACGCCAAGCTGCTAAGTCTACACTGGCTAGGGTTCCCCCTGTTTGCCTCGGCGGGTTGGGAGGGAGTGTGTTTTCATGGCCGTCGGGCTTTCTGGGTCAAAAATGGAACACCAGGGTGTGATGGTCTTTGCCTATCCCTGGTCAGTGCCATCACATGTGTGAGATTCCCTGAGTTCACTCAGGTCCACTCAGTCCAGAAGCTCCAGAACCTGGCTGTTACCCAGACAGAGGGACTGAATGGATCTGTTAGACCTTTTGGTTTGCTACAGTCACCTGTGTCTGGCTTGAAACCCACAGTCTTGTGGTGCTTTCTTGTTTTGGCACAAAACCAGTCTATGTGTGTAAAAACTGTCTATTCCTGCTGTCGGGCCTCAATGGAATTGTTTTTATTGCCCATTTCGGGTATTTACCGGTCACTGAGTCATGGCATTGAGTCACCACATGCAGCCAGTGCCTACACTCACTAATTGACAATTGCAGGAGCGCTTGTGTTGGTGGCGATGGAGAAGCCTTTCATTGGGGTACTGGGTGTGTCACCAACGTGACCTGGAATAACCTTGGTATTCTAAAACCTTACCGCAGCTCAGGCAAAGTCAGGTTGAACACATCATTTTACAACTTGAAAGTAAAGCAGAACTTTGTTGTAGTTGAATGAAACGTTGCATGCACATCAAGCTGTAGTAATTTATAGAAACACAAAGCAGAGGCTTGATGTCCGTTTTAGTAGTTAAGACACTTATTGCCGAGTTTTGTCTTTAAAACATCAAGCATGAAACAAATTTTAAAAAGTGCAATATATGTTTGGAAAAATCATGAACTACTTCTGGGGAAACCTTTTTAGTAACACTTATTTAGGACAGCAAACAGATATTACTTATAAAAGTCATGGTTTAATTAGTTTTCTGAGCAATTTATAGCTCCCAGAGGAGAGGTTAGGATATTCCAAGACCATTAAAGCCATTTATAGGTTAAACAGCTCAGTTTCAATTTTTTTTTTAGCATATTAGTGAGAGAGAAGGGCTTTTTCGACACCCTGGCAGTCAGACAGTGTATTCATGTCTTTTAAAAGTAAATAGTAAAATTAAACTCTTATTTGGACTCATAAAATACAAACACGTTCTGTTCTGATAGACACATTCCTCCGCTTCAGATAATTTCCATATTCATCCTGGAAATTTCAGTGCTACACTAATATACATCTCACAAACGTTTTCACTGTGCCGAACACATAAAGTCTTCTTTCTTTTCATCTGCATTCATTCAGCTTCTAATTTAGTCCATCAAGTGTAAAATTTCAATTTCAACATCCTGAAGCTGTATCTTGAAATCTGATATAATCGCATCATCATCCAAATGGAAACTGGCAAAGTACTCTAAATTTTATATTCTGCTTTTTATTTTTGTTCATTTTTTACATTTAGATTATTTGCAAGTGAAATTGTTTGCATTTTTGCTTAAAAATAATTTCAATTCAATGCAAAAATACTTTATTAATTTGATGTCTGCAGGAAATCCTATCAAAAAGACTGTATTTTTTCTGTAACTGTGAGATCAGAATTTTTGTCCTATTGTCAGATGTCTTCATATAACAGTTTTAATACTAATCAAGTTGTTTTAAAGGTATTTCTATTTAGTTTTCTTACCAATAAATCCTTTAAACTTGTTTATTTTATTGCTATTTTAATATGTATATGGTACTTAAGGTTTTCAAATGTATATAGAAATCTCTCATTTGCTTTTCTCACCTGTACTACACACATTTTAACACAAAAAGCACAACTTATTCTCCTTGCACGTGCAGACTATGATTATAATTTGCTGCAATAACCTTTAATCTTTCTGAAGAGTTGCTGTGCTGCATTCGTCAAAACTCTAAAAGTTAAAATAACTTCAATCATCTGCTCAAAACTAAAGGAGAGAGCAGTGTTGCACTACAGCTTTATTGTCAGACTTGTTGCAGTCTGTAACTTTACATTGCAGGGTTCTTCAGCCTCTAGTGGCTGAAATGAACATTCAATCCTTTTACCAAATTTCTCAAATCCCACATTTAAATACTGAGACTTGATCATTTCTCCGTTCGCCTGTCTCTAAGCTTCTATTTTCCCTTATTACATGGCCACTTTGTGCTATTTTTATCAATTTACTGTTATTACAGTGTTTAAAATATTTGATCATTTAGCAGACAGTAAACAAACAACTACTTTCAGATGTTGGATTAGTCTTTTCTCTGACTCTAAGTCCCTTGATTAAAGTCATAAAACCCCACATGAGGGCTGTCTGTGTCTCTGGTTTGGGAGAATTAGTGTATCTTAGCAATAAAGCAGACTAAAATTAGTTAATCTCTCCTTTCTTCGTCATTCTTCCAGCTGTCTCAAACCCCAACCCCAGACCTGAGCTTTCCTAACCTACAATGAAGGCAGCTCATAACGTTAAGTACTGTTTAGTGGACCTGTGTAAATTTGACACTATTATACCACAGAGAGGGTCTATGTAGGTGTTAATGTTAGTGTGAAGGATTGCCAGAGATCTGTATAATCCCTGTTTACTTTATTATGTGCAGCCCAAAAGGGAAAAAAGTGGCCTTTTTCCTACATCACTTCCATCCACCTTCTCTTTTTTGTGATATTTCACTCTTTCCTGCAAACTTTTACCTGCTTTGTGATGTTTTTGATAAGTATAAGTGTCATCCTCTGTTAATAATGTGCTTATTTGTGTTGAGCATTCAAGAAACTACAGGTGTTATCCCATGATGGGCATGTGTCATTTTGTTTTAGTTTAGCTCAAAAATATCCAATAAACTCGTGTTTCATCGGTTTGTGTCGAACAGTTTAAAACCACGTTTAAATTAAAGTTTTTATTTTTGTTTTTTACTTTAGTCTAATTTTTTTTCAGTCTTCCTTTCTGTTCCAAAACCCAGTTTAAATTGGCAGAGCTGGTAGCGCTCAGTTTGCATGTGGTGGCACTGGGGGCAGGGTGCAGAGCCTGCCTGCCTGAGGCGACGGTACCCAGCCCCTTATAATTACAGACAGTAAACAGCTAATGCTTTTAGGCCCATTTTACCCCCATTTGATGGGGAGAGAGTTCACTCTGTCGCATGAGGAGAAAGCAGAGGAGATGATGACAAGGAGGAGAAGGACACTTTGAGGAAGGACAGGAGTTTTCAGATTTATTCGGGGTGTTGACTGTGGAAACAGCTTGCAAAAAGCTGGTGTAAAGTTACGTTTATAGATGCACACACACACACACACACTTGAGTAACAGTCTTTTGATGTGATATTTCTTACAGTAAGTTTTAATTAGACCTTCCAACCATCTCTGGTTGAACAAGCCTTTTTTCCTTCAGCTTTATTCTCTGAAACTTTATAATTGATCGTGTGTCTCCGTCTGTCTGGGGTTTTCTTTCTGTCTTCCTGTCTGTCTCCTCACCCTCACACCTCAACAATATTTCCTTGTTCCAAATTTAATTTTCCTTCTTCTGTTCCCCCACCTCGTTGTTTCACTTTAACGTTCTCAGCTGCAGCTTCTCTCACTGTCACTCACATCTCATACCTATAATTTCATTCTGTCATGCTTCACTGGCAGAACTACTGAGCAGAAACAAGTCAGAGACGATATAATTAATGTAAAACTCCTCGTAACAGTTTGTGGATGGAGTTATATGTGCTGGCTCTCTGTTTCTCCAACTCCTGTGTCCCTCTCTGCCTTTCCACTACACACACTGGCAGGCGGTGGGATAGGAGGAGTTTTTCTTTCCTTCTTTCTTTCTTTTTTTTTTTTTTTTTTTTTTTTTTTGTCTTTTGGCAGTCTGATCACCCTCTCTTGGTCGGGACAGGCCCTGGAGCGTGCTACTGCCTGGGAGCATGGAAGGGAAACCAGGAGGTAGTGGAGAAGGAGGAGGGAGACCAAGAGGGGTGGAGGCGTGGTTTGTGCTGGTAATGAAGTCTTCTCTTTTCATCCTCAGAAGGCAGAGTGAGAGCAGACGGGCCTGGATCTGCGCTGCTCCACAGCCCTCTGTCTGTGAAACGTGTTGAAAGCTGCTCCGCTCTGCGCCGCCTATGACTCCCAGCTCCTGTCGACTCCAGCTGAGAGACACAAAAAGAGACCGAGACTTAAGGAAACGGCTACAATCATGAGTCTTCTGCCTGTGTCGGCTTCACAGAGTCACTCTTGAGGTAAGAGTTCCTCACTTGCTGCTCCTGTGATTCTCCCTAATGGAGCCCTGCTTCACTGTCTGTCTGGGTTGATTGTTGTGGGGGGTGGGGGCTGGGGGCTGACCTGTTTAGGTCCCTCCCACTTTCAGGATGCATGTGTTGGTGTTATTGTTTGTGTTTGTTTGTGTGTGCTCATGTGAGCACGCACAAATGACCATACTTTATCATTATAACCGGTGAAGCAACGAACAGCAGAAAGTTGACATCAATAAATTGCCATCTCTTGAAATAATGAAGAGTTGAATAAAATGGGAAATTTACTGACAAAAGTTAGCAAAGTCATTTCAATGCAATTTAGGCTTCAGCTCCATACAGCCACACACAAGTTCCATGAAGAGGGTTGTCTAAAAGCAACTACTTCATATTAATTTTAATTTTATTAGCTTTTTATTATCTGACTGTATGATTGTTTTATTATGTGTATTGTACAGCACTTTGGTCCTGTGGGTGTTTAAGGGGCTCTATAAATAAAGTGGGTATGGTGTGGTTTGGTATGGTATGGTGTGGTGTGGTTTGGTGTGGCATGGTATGGTATGGTTTGGTGTGGTATGGTGTGGTATGGTATGGTATGGTGTGGTGTGGCATGGTATGGTATGGTGTGGTGTGGCATGGTATGGTATGGTATGGTGTGATGTGGCATGGTGTGGTATGGTGCGGTGTGGCATGGTGGAGTGTGGTGTGGTGTGGTATGGTTTGGTGTGGCATGGTATGGTTTGGTGTGGTATGGTGTGGTGTGGTATGGTATGGTATGGTATGGTATGGTTTGGTGTGGCATGGTTTGGTGTGTTGTGGTATGGTATGGTGTGGCATGGTATGGTGTGGCATGGTATGGTGTGGTGTGGCATGGTATGGTTTGGTGTGGTATGGTTTGGTGTGGTATGGTGTGGTGTGGTATGGTATGGTATGGTATGGTATGGTATGGTAATTTACAATGAAGGTGGATGTTAGTGCAGCAACAGTCAATCCAAATTGGAACAGCCAGTGGGAGAGTTTGTTGCAGCTATCTTCTTCTCTCTAGTTATCCCAGATGGTGATGTAAATCTAACTATACTATTTTATTAAAAAATTAAAACAGTAAATTTCTGGAGATTATGCTAAATCCATACAAGAACAGGAGACACTACAATCTACCTGTCACTCATAAATCCCACTCCAATAATGTTACAGACCAAACCCACATCAAGGGTCAAAATAAAGCTTGATAAGGACTGACCTACTTTTTTGTGCCAGCTTGAAATGGTTACTTTAAAATTTGTAGTTTTCTTCAACTCTGTTGGCTTTTTGTTTCTTTTCCTGAGGTTCTCATTTGGTTGGAAACCAGAGAGTGAAATCATAGAGTCGCTGTGGCAAACTTAAACTCAATTTTCCTGCACAAAGCTTTATTTCCCAGGTTTGTTGCCAAGTTTGTGTGGCACTCGCAGGGTTCAAATTATTGTATTTGACTGTGCAACCTTTGGAGAAAGATTAGGCCTAAAGTTAAAAGTTTATCAGATATATTCTTTCTTCAGAAAGTTCTTTAGTTTCTCTGTGTAGTTTTATTTTAAAAAAATCCCCAAACTTATTTTTGACAGTTTTTCTTCCGCTGGAAGTTGTACCTCTGTGGTTGCTTGTTTAATTGGGTTATTTGTTTCGTTGAGGCTATTTTTTCTTTTTGTTAGTGTCATTTCCTTGGCAGTCTATTCCCATAAATGTTAGGACTCTTTAAGGCAACATGGAGACAAATTTTGTTTGGTTGTTACAACTAAGAATCAGTTATTTATTCCATAATTAGGGACTTCAGCATCCAGGTCTGTATGAAAAATGTGTTCTCTCATTCTTGGTTTGGATAAGTGTTAATTTACAGCGTGATATACTGTAGGTTTTAACGAGGTGTTAATTGTTGTACATTGTGGTAGAGTTCATTTGCACTGTTGATTTCTGTTGAAAGCAGATGGATGCAGCAGGCTACTGGGGCTCATCTCTGTAAATATAATCGACAAGAAGCATCTGCAGTCCAGTGACGCCAGGCTTTGAAGTGATTTCAGTGGATCCATCCTCCTCCCCGCTGGGCAATTCAGATCCGGCCTGTAACTCGCTCATTTTTATCCACATTCCCTGGGAAATCAATCCATCTGTATTCTTTTCCTCACCTCCTTCTTGATCCTTTTTCACCCAACGGGTTGTTACCCCTCAGTGAGGCCTTCAGTTCCTATCAACACCTCCTGGATTCTCATAGACCGTTTTCCTATGGTTTTATCCTCCAACCTCACGACTTTGACATGCTTCAGGGGAATGTGTCTTTCCGATACCTCCACCCGCCCCCATCCCAAAAGAAAGAAAAGTACAAAAAATAAAAAATAAAAGCCAAAGCGACTTTCCACTACTTTCTGCTGGACCATGAGAGTTATGGTTTCCCAAATGTACAGGAGCTGGGCTTAATTGAAAAAACACAAGCAGGGTCTGCCATGAAGGAGACGGTCCTTGTGTCACTGCGGAGCTGTGTGAATGTACTTTCCAGAGCAGGCGAGGGGAAGAGAAGGAGAAAGAAAAATACAAACAGAGCATGAGATGGAGGACAGACAGAAGGCTGAGGCAAATAAAATTAGGAAATGAAAGTGTGGAAAATCAAGTAGATGTAGACGCAAAGGAGACAAATCATCAAGTTTTAAGTGATAGGAAAATGGAGAGCAGCATGTTAGGACCCCCAGTTTGGCTTAATTTAGTTTCTTATGGGAGTTTGTATAAAATGGGATTTCAGTGGAAGAATGGCAGAAAGAGACCATCGTAAATCATTGGGCCCCGAAGGGAAACTACAGTAAAACCTGCTTGATTGCAGCCTAGCCAACAGCAGTATCTCTCCCATGATTTTCTCAACAGGGAGTCCTCATTACGTTTAACCTTAATGATTCCTAATGAAGCAGTCAGCTTACAGAGCAGATTCTACAGAACAACCAGAGCTTCGTTTCCCATATAGACGATGCTGTACATGTCTTATCAGTGTTGTTATCTTTGACTGTGCCTGCTGCAACTGTTTCTCCTTGGTCCCCTCACCCTCTCTGGTGTGTTTGTGTGTCTGCCCCCATATGGTGATGATAGAGGCCCTACCATTGGTTCTGATGGTACATTTGTCACACACATGTTTGCCAGCAGCTGCTGTTGCCAGGGCTTCACAGGAAAGCATCTTCTGTTGACTTCCTCGCTGGGTGGCTCATTTGTTTGTGAGGGTACCATGACTTCTGACCCCGCCACCACCTCCTGTTTCTGACACTACCAATTAATTTAACTCAACGCAGCTTCAGGCATTCCCACCACCGCCCAACGTTTCAACACCGCACTCGTCCATGATTGCTAACAGAGAGAAATGTGAGGACAGAAAGTACTTTTCTATCTGCTGAATCTTTGTCATGATTGCTGGATGACTTCATTTTTTTTAAATTGTGTGGAAAATGTGTAAAAAGACAGATGACAGACAAGTGTTAGCATTTAAAGTCACATACCAGTACATACATTTTAGTAGCTATTATGGGAACTTGATTTTAAATTTGTAATATTCGTGCCCACTGTCATGGAAGATGGGGAAACAATACTATCTCTTGTGTGTGTTTGTCTTTGTGTTCCTTTGTTAGTAAAATATCTCATGAACCACAGGAAATAATTTTAACAAACTTTTAAAATGATATCCTTAGATATACATCTACAACTAATTACCTTTTGGACTCATACAACCGGATTCAAGACGTCCATCGCAGCTAAATGATAAAACACAAAAAAACTTGGCTGCATTTTTATATTTTCTAATGACCTTAGAAAACACAAAAATGACTATATTTGAGTCCATATGACATATATTGAGCTAAAAGACTGTGTGGCAGTAGCCAAGAGTCATCCCTAACACATACTCTGAGCACTAACTGGTCACAGAAGAACTTCGTTTAAAATGTTGGTGTGCAAGGAAGTGGGCGAACAGCATTCCACCAAGGAGCGCTAGTTGAATTTAGCAATTAATTAACCCAACAGCACAGATTTAATGACCGCTCAGTTTAAAAGTTACAAGTTAGTTAAACCTAAAATGAGCCTCATTCCGGCTCTGAGGCTTGATAATTATCTGCAGGTACTGTTCACACAGGAGTAATATAGTTACATAACACTGAGGATGTTGTTCATCACTAAATTCCCACGTTAAATGACGGCGTCTTGACCTTTGACCTCGCTCATTCTCTTCTATCTGAGCTGACTTCAGTGAACTCTGATAGTCAAAGCTGTGAGGACAATTTCAACTTCTATATTTGATTAGATATTAGATTTTATTTGAAAACTCTGATGAGTAAATCAAGTTGTGTGTAAATATGATTTAGGATAATTAGCTTGTCTAACTGTAGCTAAAGCATGTAATCCTTAACTATTTTTTTTTTTGACATTTTTCTTGGAGTCTTGAGTGTAAATTGGCAGCTGGACAAGATTTGTTACATCAGATAAAGCCAGTCATCTTGAAGTCATGGCAGTCTTTTGCATTTATTTTATTTTTTGCCTAGTTTGACATCTGATCTGATGTGATCCAATTTTTCTTCCATACGTTTTTTGGCTCAATTCTCATCCTGCAGTTTTCAAGCTATTTCAACAATTCATATATCAAAATGTTCAGCTCTTTCAGGACAATCCTGCTGTGACTTTTGGTATTGGTGCAACTTTAGCTTTTTGTTCTGGTTCAGCTTCTTTCACCTTCCTTGGGCAAATGAAACTTTTTTTCAGCTACTTTCAGCTTATTTCAGCTCTTTTTTTCAGCTGTTTTGTGCTCCTTTCAGAATCTTTCTGCTAATTTCAACATTTTTGTGCTTCTTCTAACTTCTTTCTGCTAACTTCAACATTTTTGTGCTTCTTCTAACTTCTTTCTG